AAAGAATTAACAACTCACTGGAGAATCGAAAGAGCAGACAAGCTCAGATTTGGTGGAGACCTCGTGGTGACAAGAGGTGCTACTGAGTTGTGCTCGGGATTGCAGCCAGGGCAATCAGAGGCAACTATGGACATTTTTCATAAGAATATCGGAGAACTGTACTCAACATCTTGAGGGTTTAACCTTAGTAGTGGCCCCAGTTTATGAGAATAATGAGAGAAAGTAGATTCATGAAACTATGGTGCCAAAGACAAAGATCTTCCAGCATTAAGAAGGCCAGTGTGATTACCGTATGAAGATTGTCCATGCAAGGTGGACCACTGTTCAATTGTTACACATGCAAATTGAAAGCCTGTGAGTTGGGATCGGCATTTTAGGTATGCTACAATATTATGTTGTATATGAGTAAAAGTAGGAGAGAAAAAATTAAACACTTATCTTCTAGCATAAATATTTTGGTAATATACTATTATAGATTTAATAATAATGTAGATTTTTCATTATAGATACAACAGTTTCATTTAGAAACAATTTTAATATAGAATCACATCAAATAATCATTAATGTTATTTATTATAGATCCTATGAAAAAGAATAATGTTATAATTTCAGTTATACTGTTATCACAGTTTTGACATCAATTTAAAAATGATTTATTTATTTATTTGTTTTATTTATTTATAATAAATTTTATTTATTATAAATAAATAACAGCTAGAATTTTAATTCAAATTAATAATTAAAATTACAACTTATTTTTAAAATTTCAGTAAAACAAAAAATGTGTACCAAGCACAAGCATTCTAGGTGAAACTTTTTTGTTTTCTCTCATTGAAAATACCTTTTACTTTTTTGTTTTTGAATTATTGATTGAAACAAAAAACTTTTAAAAGGTATAATTTTTTTTTTTCAGTTCAAAAGAAGTTCACTTTAGGTATCAACATTGGAGACAATGATACGTCACACACTCCAGTTGTTACTACCAAAAACAAGCACCTGGCAGAGATTAGTTCAAAGGTGGGAACAGTGCCAGCAGCAGATATGGATGATATGGATGACTAATTACTTCCATGACTCATTTTTGTCATTTTGAATAAGTTTTACTTATATGACTATTTTAATCAAATATCAGAAAAAATGTTTCATTTATAGATGATCATTATCTTTGCAATACATTTTAAACCATGGTTCAGCTAGCCATTACATAATGTTATATAAAAAACATGAATTTGAAAAGTTTCATAACACATTCATTGATATGTAAATTTCAATCATACCAATTAATTAAAAGTTTTTCTTTTTTTTGTGATAATTACTGCATTTTGTATAAAATGACTTTTTAAAGCTGATATTTTAAAAGTTAGGACAATGTAAAATACTATTGAAAATGACATGTAAAACAAAGAAAATATCCTTTATTACTAATCTATATATTAATTTGATAAGCCTGATATACTGTTCATCTTTGTTTGAGTGAGTAAATGAGGGTACAAACATGATTCAGGTGTCAAAATAAAGAGCTCTTATCCTATAGATGAGTCTACTGCAATAAGAAAAAAAATTTACTACTGTTTGAGGATGGTGGAGTGGGAAAGGTACAATGTTAGATCTATGGGATAAACATGTTTGGCACTCTTGAGCCATTTAGCCAGTGGTGTAGCGTGGGTGTCGGTCACCTGGGGCGGAGAAAAATTTCGCTGCCCCTAAATTTGGTATCTCCATTTAAAAAACTAAAATTCAGTTTCGTCACAGAATACGTAATGAAAAATTCTGTGCTCATTTCAATCGGACCAACAAAAATATGAAATGAAATGGTTCAAATTTTTACAAGATATTATTATTATTTATTGTGAAATTTTGCCGCCCCCACTATGCTACACCACTGCATTTAGCAATTTAGTTTTTTTTTTATCCATTAGAACAACTCATTGCCCACCCTTATACTGAACTCCTTGTTTTGCTAATTTACATATTAAGATTTTATGCATTAATTTTTTAACATGAATAAATCTAAACACTTACACTATCTATTTAAATATTAAAATAAAATTAAGAATCACTTTTATTTTTGAATTAAACTATTTTAAGTTTTTAGAATCTGTAATAAAAAAGTATGTACAGTAGAACCTCGATTATCCGGACCTCTATTATCCGGATTTTCGATTATCCGGATTGTTCAAATAAACAAAAATTTTACGAATTTGCTGATTTGCACTTGGCGAATTACGACATTGTTTATGTACGTGATGGAATGCATAACATTTCTTGTTTCAACAATGTCTCACCCGACACAGTGGTCGTAAACTCTTAAATATATTTTACGTCGTAATAAAAATATAACTTTCATACGTATTTATAAATAATTTATACTCAAATTACATCATTTCTATAACCAAGGGCGGCGTATGGGCAACATGGGCCACCCAAAGGGCCTCGCGCCTCGAAGGTTTATGCATTACTTAAAAGCCGCGAACGCGACGAAAAAATTTTACTCGTCATAAAACAATAAATAGTTTGTCAAACTTTTATTCATAAAAATGCAGTTTCAACTGCTTTTTATTTTATAAAATCTGTCTTCTTGAGCCGCCAGAGGGCCTTTTAAACAACAGCTAATCTGTTAGCGCTGGTCAGTAGTAGTCCAAATTCAATAAAACATTTGTTTCTTGAAAATTTGATCACAATTCAAATACAGTATTTATTTTTAATATTACCAATATGTCATCGAAAAGAAAATGTGTTGTATTATCATTAAAAGACAAATTAAAGTATTTGTTTCGATTATCCGGATTTTTCCTTATCCGGACTACCTTCATCCCCAATTAGTCCGGATAATCAAGGTTCTACTGTATTAGTAAAATGAATGAATTACTGTACTTTTCAACTCTAAAAAGACAATAAAAGTTTTTAAATAAATTAATTGTGTCAATATTGACCACAGCATCAATCTCTGATTTTATTTTATGGTTACCCATGTCTCTGACAGTTCATGGGGCTAATAAGCAAAACAGATCCATCCTGGGCTTCATGAATAAAACTTTTTTTGTTGGTAGATTTGTCAAGAAATCCAACTTCACACTAAGTAACAAATTGGATGGTTAGAATCATGTTTCGGTCTTATCATGGAGTACTTGGTTTGGTAACTGAAGGTTGGACCTAACATTGTATCTTTGCCAATCCACCATCCCCAAACAGTGATGATAGAGGCAGGCTGCCACTACTATTACTGCTAATCCAAAGCTCTGCCAGTTGAAGTTGATTGGCCTTAAGAATGATATATTGGCCCGCTAGGATCTGGATGCAAAATTAAAAAAAGCCTCATGATACCAAAGAATGTGTAGATGACAATCACTTGCAGGACCCAGAAAACACTGCTGTACCGATGAATTTTGTGTAAAATGCCAAATTTTAAGTAAATTCATTATATTTTAATTGGATAAAACTGTCAATTTTGATGGGTTTCTGCTAGTTTATTATAATAAACAAAAGAATATATAATAAATGGCACTCTTCCATTTTGTTATCCATGTACAGTACAATACAACAATGACGTCACACTATCGGAACCCGTGACTGGTGCTCTATGCGTATACGTTAAATATCGCTTGACAAACGTTTTCGAGCGTTCTGTTCGCTCTTCTTCAGGTCAACTGAAAGAATTCCCCGGACGGAGTGCATATTATTCTTCTGACGTTGTTTTCATCCCGGTGCTGAGAATAGAGTATTTCCTGCATTTAAATACAACAATGCTCATGACCATCACATGTACTACACAATGCAAGGGCAAATGTGCACATAATGTCAGTTTCATTGATTATCTGTGATTATGGAAGCAAAAGTAGCTGTCCATAAATTATGTCTCCATTTTTCTTTAAATTTTTACTCCCTCTCGTCCCAGTTTGTCCAAGTTTCTATCAAGAGAAATTACAAAAATAGATAACAAGACAGATATTATGTCTGTTTTATTGTCCATCTGTTTACCCATAGACTTACAGGAAAACTTACCAAAATGTATAAGAAAATAGACATTAGCAAGTCTGTTTTGTTAAAACTTATATTTGCAACTTACACATTACAAAGTTCTTATAATCAAAAGGCAGCCACTAAGTGGCCAAAAACATTTGTTTTCTTCCATTTATCTAATGCTTATTAAACGTCAGTGCTGGAAGTAACACATAATACACATAATTCACTTATAATAATCTTATAATAAATCTGACCAAGTACAATTTTAAATTTGAACTTTGGAGGGATTATTTTTACAACATACATATCCCTCAGGGTTTTTTCAAAACTGGTTAATTACCTTGCAACAGGAGACGAGTGGGTAAAACTTGAAAGAATTACCTTATTGCCTGTATGCATACATTTTCCAAACTATCAAAACCATTTATTGACTTTATTTATGGATTACAGCTACAAAATATGAAATAATTACTGTTTTCAAAGTTAATCCAATTCAATATCTTCTGATTCAGTTGTTACATTGTTGTTTGTGTTTTTCAATTTGCAATTTGTAATTTTATTTGCAGAAATGTTCCTGTGAACCTTTTGGAATAGAAAGTGCTGTCCAACTCTAGACAATTTTATTAAGTTCCTTACCTGATCAAAATTTATTTGAATCCCAGTTTAATCTAGTGCCGAGAGGTCAAAGCTTACGTAACAAAACTTGTGTAATAAAATCTGTGCATTCAATTGCATCAATTGTAGGTGTGTTGGATTTTTACAGTATATTTGATCAAATTGTTCTGAAAATAATGTTTATGCATCAAATTATTTTTGTTGAATCATAATTCAGAAATTTTATACATAAAATATTATAAATTTTTTCTATAGAATTTTTTAAGATTTAAAATATTACATTTCAAAACTGAATTATCATAAATAACTGGAGACGAAACCAAATATCACTTGTAAAGTTGCATGCAATTGTTCATATTGTCATATGGAAATTCTAATTAGTTCTATTAATAAATCCTTAGGGAAAAACCAAAACAACTTACCTACGAAATGTAGACTCGGTAATTCACAGTCGCTGGCTATTTCAAGGCGCAATATCACTAACGAAACGGACATAATACAATATAAGGTGAAATTTCATCGAATTCCCTTTAGTAAACACAGCATTACATCTAAATCTACGCATAAAAACACTGACAAAAACAAAGCAAACCAATGAAGCGCCATCTGAATTTTCCGTAAAGAAAACTGAATATCAATCAGTGTTGCCAATGTAAAAAATACCGACAAGTGAGGAGATAGTGATTTTTTTTTTTTTTAACTCTTTTCGCCCTGTAAACACTAAGAGGGCTTCTTTTAGAAAGTTCATTACAGGTTCAACCAGGCCCATAATGGTGTTGAGGGACATATCAGGACGGAACACCTCACGAAAAATTCCTGGGGATTTTTCGACCCGTCCGGATTTGATCCTGGATCCCCCAAAGCGGTAAGCTGCTGCCTTGACCGCTTGGCCATCCGGCCTTCAAAAGAGACAGCGACTGAAATTATGCTGTTTCAATTTGAAACTTCCAAACATGGAACTATATGGAATAGCAAAAGATAGTCAACCACTGAAGCTAATACACGCGCGCGCAACCCGGTGTTCTTCACATTGTGCTGAGAACTAACATTTTTTTTTTTTTTTTTTGTGAAAACATTGCGTTCTGAGTTAATTTTGTTTAAACTGGTTACAATTTAAAGATTAGCTGACTATAACATATAAGTCGATGTAATTATATCGTGTTATGTTGTCATTAATTTCATTTCTTATATGCTTGTAAACATATGAGCATTTGATGGGATTTATCCATACACGCGTTTTATTTCATGTTCGGGATACCATAGAGATCCACGATGAGTGAAATAATTCTGATAATGTTAGGGTTACGTTAATTGTTTTGGGGAAGGATGAGAAATAACGGAACAATTTAAATAATGAGGAAATAGTGGATGTAAAGTATAATAGTGAATGCTGTCAAGAAAGAAGATAAAACATGAAAAAAGTTGCAAAATTACAGAACTTCGCCTATTATAATATAATAGGCGAAGTTCTGTAATTTTAAAACATTTTAGTTTTTACATGGAGTTTCTATCCATTGACTACTTACTTTCAAATCTTTGTTTAACTTTTCTTTTGCTTATAACATTTTTCTTAATTTTTAAATTTTTTATGAATTTTTTAATAACATTTCTGATGATTTTTTTATGAAACGAAAATTTCAAATGATTGATAATCTAATAGTTAATAACTTATTGATCAAAATTTAATATCAAAATGATGATCAATACGATCAAAAATTGATCTTAATTTTGATCAAAATGATTTTGCAGTATTTACATTCATCAAATATATTCATCCTCTTCCTAGCATATAAATGATAAAGAACTAAGTATCATTTACATAATTATCTTTAAAATACATAANTCTACAATTTTTCTTAATTTTTAAATTTTTTATGAATTTTTTAATAACATGTTTTAATAACAATAATAGTAAAGGTCCGAACATGTGTTCGGGCTTTTACTCTTTAGTTGCTAAAAATTTTTCCCCGCACAATCCTGAGGCGTGACGTTACCTGGCTTAAGCTGTCAGTGGAAATAGAGATAATCTCTAGCAACTCTGATTTCTACTGATAGTTTGAAGCAGGGCCGGATTAACCCACTTTGGGGCCCTAGACATTTTTTTCTTCAAAGTCCCCTGTCGGCTCTTTCAATTAATAAATTTTGTTACTATTATTTCTATTAAATCGCATACGGACACTGCAGCTGCTTAATAAAAAAAAATAATAGCAAAATTATTTAATAATATTTCACAGGATTTCACTGGAATATATATAGTTAATATTATTCTTATCGCTATAAAAAAATTCTAAATTATTGGGAGTTCCCTTTTACTTTCAATTAGAAGAAACAAGAATACGAGGGTTTGTTCAAAAAGTTCCCGAACTTTATTTATTACAAAAAAATACTTCACATGCTTCACATATTTGTCAGGGTTCCCTTCAAAGTAGTCTCCTCTGCAACGTATACACTTATTTCAACGGTGTTTCCACTTTTTGAAACAGTCCTGAAACGCTTTTTCCGGAATGCTCATAAGCTCCTCCGTCGTTTTTTTCTATCTTTCGAATGGTGGCAAATCTTTTTCCTTTGAGCGTGTTTTTTAGTTTGTTGGAGAACAGGAAAAAGTCTCTTTGTGTCAGGTCAAGTGAGTAGGGGGGAAGCACAGCGGTCTTGTTTTTGGCCAAAAACTCACGAATTCTGAGGGACAAATGAGCCGGCGCATTGTCGTGATAAAAAAAAAAAAACACTCACCGCTTCTCCAAAGTTCGGGCCGTTTTCGCCTGATTCTCTCCCTTAGGTGTTTCATAACACCAATTAGTACGCCGTGTTGACTGTCTGGCCTGTAGATAGGTATTTATGATGCATAACCCCCTTTGCATCGAAAAAAACAGTCAACATCACGTCAACATTTGAGCGAACTTGTCGAGCTTTTTTCGAGCACTGTTTCACCCACCTGTGGGAAGTTTCCGTGAAGGATTTTCGGAGTTTCACACAGAATTTCACAGAACAACGCTGCTCTTTCAAAGAGCTGATTTCCGCGGATCCGATTTTTCGCCGAATCCCACAAACATCCCTTCACATAAACGGCAGTAACTAATCACCAAAACAAGATATCAACAAATGGGTTGAAGGAGGTTACTCGGGAGGTTTCCGCGGGCACAACGCCTCCAAGCGAATTAAAAAATAACCAACTGGAGGCGCGCTATTCAAAAAGTTCGGAAACTTTTTGAACCCACGTTCATTTTCTTTAGATTTTAGAATTCACTATAACCATATAAAAAGCAATACTGTATATTTTTGTTTATTATATACAGTTGTCCAACAGAGAAGTAAACTATCTTATTTACAAATCTTTTCAAAATAGACAGTTTGATCGGGCCTTTCTAAAAACCGGGCCCTAGATATTTGTCTCATTTGTCTATGCGATGATCCGGCCCTGTTGCCATCTTACTCTTGCTTCTTAAGTGAAGAATAAGGTAAATAACAAAATTAAAAGAGACATAAATGTACGTCCTTACATCTGTGTCTATGACAACTTATGTATTGTTGAGGTTAACACACCTGCAACTCGTTAGTTACTTCCGAGCTTGCCCTTCTCCCTTGGATACAGTTGCTTATCAGTTAAAAGACATTAGCGAAGAAGAGGTAAATAAACTGTTATTGTAAAGTGAAAATTGTAGAAAAACCTTAAATGTTAAACTGAAAGTTCATTATAAAAATGTTCTCACAGTTGGAAAATTTTGTCGTGGATTCCTATAGACATTGGGTCGGGGAAATTCTAAAACTTCATTATAACAAGATTCTACTGTGATGGCGAAATTAAGTTTTAAAATTAATTTATTAAAATATATTTCTGAAAAAGTTTTATAAGATTTATAAGGCTAATTTATATAAAATATTAATTTAATCATGTATATTCCGTGCCAGAAATTTNCAAAATTTTAAAACTCATTATATTTCTTTTAAATTCTATTAAATAACTCACAGTTTAATCAGAAATTTTAATTTTTTTTTTTTTAATATTGCAAGCAATTGCAAATTACGTAATTTCTTAATGTGATAAAACATTAATGTTCAATTAAGCATACAGTAGATAGCTTGTCACCATGCCATAATTAAGTCATACAGGATTTTATCTTGTATATTTTTAGTTTATTTTAATATTTGAAATATTTTACATAATAGTAATTTATGGTATCATGCTATTTTTGTAATTAAATTTTGTAATTAAATTTTGTAATTAAATTTTTGTAATTAAATTAAATTTTACAAATGGAAATATCATGTACATGACAAAAGATTTCCAAACTCCGATTAACAGTATCTTGTATCTTGATATTTGAAAGTATTGAATGCATCTTTTCTCAGTTAATGCATTCATTTAATGAACGAACACACGCATTTTAAAATTTTTGACTTTTAGTGTCCATAGGGGTAAAGAGTCAACTACATTTACTTATCTATATTACCTGTTATTTATCACAATTTGTTGTAAAATGCAATATGATTTTAGCATCATTCTTTTATTTTTTATGATATAATTTATCAAATATCTTAAAATCATAGGTTATTTCTTTTTTTCTGTAGCATATAATGCAGTAAGGCTTTTCTTTAGATGCCTTCCTTAAAGAACAAAATAATTAGTAAAAAAAAAAAAAAAGCAATGAGCTGAGGTTATAAGATGGCGAGGCACTCGACCATGGCTGAATATGCAGATGCATTAATCGGCCCCGATAACAATAATAAAAATTCATTTTAATGAAGAAGCAATAAAGATATTCTACTCTGCAATTTATTATTTCTCGGATGTATTGAGCAGACATAAAGCTTTACAATGTAGAATTAGTTTTGTTAAGAGTTTTTGATGCAAGATAGTGAAGATGGAACCTATCATACTGTACTTTTACCAGGTTCAATTTTAGAAATATTCTACCATTTAATAAATAATTTTCAAAAATAAATTTTTCATTCTTATTAAAACATATGAAATATAGCTGTAAACTATTTCAATCTGAAACAAGAACAAGGCATTCTAAAATACGTAGAATTTTTAGTTCTATTGATAAGTTGAGAATAAAAAATATATATGACGCTTCAGGAATCTGATTAAACTTCAAGGAAACGGGACATATTGGTATATATTTCATAATGGTAAGAAATAGTTTAGCTGGCACTTGATAGAAGTTGTTGCACAACTAATTTTCATATGAATTCTTTGAATGTTACGTAATAGAAAATTGCGTATTACTTTGTTTACCATCAGTCAATTTTCTTACAGTATGACCAAGCAGAAATTTAAAATATTTTATTTTTAGATATTTTTGTCAAATATTTTTTTTTATATTTTACATTAAAATAATTTAAACGATAGAATATTGTTTATACTATTTAATAATAGTATAAATAGTATTTTGATTATTATAACTGTTCTGCACATTTTTAAAATATTTCATACTGTTTGAAATTTTTTATTCGACAGAAATGTCTGACTATTAATATTTAATTACCATGTTAAGATATTTACTTGTTTTATTAGTTTATATTTGGTTTAATGTTTTAATTTTAACCATTATTCATTTTTAAGAACAGGTTCTTTGTGGTTTTTTATTGCATCATGTTAACTTTATGTG